TCAATCAAGTATGCAGAAACGCCTGCTAGCAACCAGCAGCACAGTAACTTACTGATCCCCTGCTATTAAATCACTGTCAGTGTTGAGCGCTTCTTAATTGGGATGAAATTGTATTTCAGATTAATTGTCTGCCCTTAGAGGTTTTTAAATTTCACTCGACAGTATCATATTCATTTGTTACTCTTCTCATGGAGGTGCTAGGTTGTAATCGACTCGCTGTTGTATATTTTCACACAATGCCTGTGACATCTCACTCAAGCCTACAATTTGTAGATTTCCAAACATCAGAGCCCTGCAAGCGCTACGGCTTCTCTTTAATGAATGGTAACAGCGGTATGAAAGCAGGCTGCCCTGTCACTCTGTGACTCCTGGGTAATTAATTTGTCGGCAGAACATGAATGGAGGTGTGTATCTGATGTGTGTGTACTCTAATTTGAGGCACTTCGTTTAAGCTGCAGTGAAAGCAAACAGTTGTAGGTAGTAGGAAAACAAACCCATTAATGATGCTGCGCGAGGAAGGCCGTGATGGAAATGCTATCCAGGGGTAAATATTTGAACAGCCCTCTGGCAGCTTGTCTGGTCGTTCTCTGAGAGATTCTGCTAAAGCCAGCGGGCCCTCAAGGAGATTAAGGTGGAAGTCTATGGGTAAAAGCCTAGAAGATGCACTGTGGACAAATGTAAATGCTCATGTAATGTTTGGACGTTCAGGGACATGCCTGTATTAAAGGGATAGCTCACAAAAAATCTAAAACTTTAGAACTACTTAAGTGTAAGTACATGGTGAGGAAATGTTCATTTTTAGGCTAACTATGTCTCTGAATGTCCCTTGAAGTGCTTTGAAATATGCATTTTTATTCTATGTTTGACGTAATCTCAAACAAAACATGAAGAGAGGGTGGGACATAGTGCAGCTCCTTCCCTTTTAAAAAAAACAGCCAATAGCATTTTGTTTTATCAACAGTCTGCCAGTAAGAGTGATTAAGTACAAGCACATAAAATGTGATGCATCGTGAAATGGGCAGGGCATGTCAGATACTAAATAGCATTTGATTGGTTACAATTAATCCAATACTTGACGATCAATTCAAGTATGACATGAATAAATTTGTTGATCTATTTATGTCTGTGTATCTGTTTATCTTAATTTACGTCCTGCGGCTAAATTATTTTTTTTTACAATTTCATTGATCAGCTTGAGGTAGGTTAATTCATTTTTATGCTTTTGAGGAAGTAGCATACAACTTGAGCTCTTTAGACCATGCGCCGGACGGTTTCTCTGTGTTTCGCTGGTAATATCTTTAAATAAATATTTATTTAGGCCTATTTAATTATTCATTTATTATTTATGTACAATAATTGAGACATAAAATGAGATGGTAAAATATAATCAACAAGGAAAATGTAAATTAAAACTGTAAATGGAAAAGCTTATTTATTGACTGTCTTAGGACTATCACTTCACCAAATACTGTACATCTCTCTATATTTAGGCTAAATAGCTGCTTTATTTATTTTTTAGGCCTACTTATTTGTATGTATGTTTGTACTTTCAGTTTAGTTGTCTTTCATTTCTTTAATTTTACTTTACAAAATGAATCATCCAAAATGAATCACTTGTCAACCATTGATGCAGACGATCCATGTGAATAGGGTGTAAGTGACAAGCTTTACATGCTTGTATCAGATTTATATCGAATACTATAGATATCTTAGAGTAACAGTACTGATGTTAATAAAATCTAATAAAATCTTTAATTTAATGGGAGCTTTAACCGCATAGTTTTGCTTTTATTTCCACTGTATTGTGTTGTGTTATTATCAGCTTGCTGATTAACCCAAGTTTTTGTAATTCCTTCATAGTGGCATTTTCGTATAAAAAAAATTATTTATTGCAATTTTAGGGTTTTTTTTTTCAACTTCCTGCTGCCCAAGTTTTATTGATTTATTTACTTATTTTAATGTCACTATAATGTCTGAATGAATTAATTCTGAAAAAAAAACATACTAAAACTGATCAATATAAAGCTCCCTCTCTAGACCTATGAAGCAATCTTATATTTAATGAAGTATATCAGCATTTCTTAATACCAATCCGCATGCCTCGTCGATCTGCATATTTTGCATGTCTCTCATTTAACACACTTGAGTTAGATCATATGGCTCATTAGAAGAGTTTTGTGCATGAACTGTGCCCTGACTGACACATGCCAACACAGTGTGCTTTGTTTATTAATGCCTTTTCTTTCATTGCTTTTTATCTGAGCACGAGAAACCTTTATTTAATTTTAAAACATTCGTTCATGGATTTAAACACTGGCAATGCCTACAGCAAGAGAAGCATGAAGTGTGACAAAATAACTGTAAAAAAAATACAAAATAAATTCACATATCATACGCTAAAATGCTATTTGAATGAAACAAATACAGCATGCTATCTTCATATGATAATCATGGCAGAACATTCTGTAAAGTCCATTTTGCAAGGCATTTGTTATCAAATTGGAACAAACATCTGACATAAAAAAGAAAAACATGAAACATGCAGTGTGAGGACTGCACATTTCAAGCGATATAAAAGTTATATTGTATTTTTTGTAACCAAGTTAATTTTCGTGGAATTTTAAAGACCCTCTCGCATCCTTCAGAGTTTAGCTTTTTTGCCATCCTCCATCGCTGCTTATTGAGATTCATTGTTTTGCTCGGCAGGGATTGTCATCTTTACGCCAACGTGATCAGTCTTAAAGTGCATTGCCAAATTCACCATGATAGATGTAGGCCATTTGATGTGACATAATTTGATGTCAGTGTTCTTTAATGTAATTTTTGCAGCTGTTTCTGGAGGACAGTTGCTTTGTTCACTCATGTCGGGTTTTCACAGGCAGCAGTCAGTGTCACCATGTTGTATGATGTGAATAAATTTGCAGATTAATGCTGAATCTCAGCAAGGTTGTCAAAAATATATCCAGGTCATATTTCATGAAAGAGAAAGAAGAGAAAAGAAAGCAAGAAAGAAAAAAGAAAGATGGACCTTTTTGTTTTTATCATTTTTACCTTAATCTTATGACAACACAATTATACTGTGTTTGCTTTACTTTTTGTTTATTCAAAAGAGATGGAAATCTTCTTTCTCCGCTTATAAGTAGCTGTTTATTCTGATTAAAATGTCAGCTTGCAGAGCACACTCAGTGGGGAAAATAAGTCTTCAACAAGTCACGTTTCTCAGAAAACATATTTCTAAAGATGCTGTTGACTTGAAATGTTGGTAACAACCATGGAAATCCATATATGCAAAGAAAACTAAACTAGTTACATTACAAATTAAGTTACGCATAATAAAATGAAATTATGCAGGAAAAAGTGTTGAACACATAAGGAAAGGGAGGTGTAGAAAGGCAAAAGGCAAGACAGCAGCTGAAATCTCTCAGTATTTATTTAGCAAGCCTCTGCCCTTCGCTATTGTAAATTAATATTAGCTGCTTCAGTCCAACATTTACATTAGCAGGAGGATAAATATGAACCAGAGTGGACATTTCAGCAAGGCATTGATCCAAAACACAGACAGGTAAACTATTAAATGCTTTCATAGAAAGAAAATCAAGCTGTAGAATGGCCTGGCCAATCACCTGACTTGAATCTAATAGGAAATACAAATTAAAGGTCCTATTTTATAGAAGAAACCCACAGAACCATCCAAATTTTTACACTGTTAAAATCTGTGAAAAAAACACACCTGACCTGTGCATGTGGCTTCATTCTCCATATGAGAGGTATCTTCAAGCTGCCATCACCAAAAAAGCCTTTTATATAAAGTATTAAAGATGACGTGTTCAACACTTGTTTTCCCTGATGTATGTTAATATATTCCAGTGACCAGGAAAATTAAAGTTTTGAATTTTAGATGCATTTTGAGCTGATATGTTTGGCAGTTTATTTGAAAAAAAAAGAAATCGACTATAAATGGCCATAAAATGGGATTTATTTTCTTTTTGCCTTTTTTCTTTTCGCTTCCAACATTTTTTTGATGAAATATGACCTAGGCATGTTTTTTGACAGGCTTCGTGAGATTGTCTTTTTAACCGCCGGCACCCTGTGGACCTTCACCATCTGTACTTCTAGGGCCCGAATTTCACCTTATCACCCCATTCCTCTTCTTTCTCTCTCTCCTCGACCTCATCCCCTGAGACGCTTGATTGCAGCACATGATTAACTGGCTCAACATGCAATCTAAACCCAGCACACACGGCTCCGCGCAGGCCCACAGCTGGTCTTCAGAAGAATCCAAAGCTGACTTTTTTCTCCACTCTCCCAGGGAGCACTGAAGAAAAGGAGAAAACCCTTCAATTATGGATGGAGGTCAGAGAAAGAAAGTGAGAGAGAGAGAGTGAGGAAGGAAGAATGCAGGAAGACAGAATACGGCTCAAGTTCCTGGCGTTTTTCTCGCATGTCTTGAAGCTGGAAGCCACAGCGGCTTCTATGGGTAAGAGCTCCAGCTTAAATGGGAACCAAATGTTTGTGTAAGGCTTTCCTCGGTGCGAGTGCACTGTTTGTTTTTTGAGGCGGCTGGAATTTCTCCACCGGCTGCCAGGCTATTCTGTGGGCGGCTCGAGAATCCTCGCGGCCCTTCTTTCGCTTCACAACTGAGCCCGTTGCGTGGCGCTGAGGGGATATTTTTTGCACCTTATTTGGGAGATGGGTGTTATGACAACAAATATCATCACTGCAGCATGGTGCGCTTAAGGTGTTCATGTGTTTTGTGTGTTGTGAAATCATCTGCCAAAATGGAAAATATAATCATCTTTCCAAGGGTTGAAAAAAGCATCTGCTCAGCACAAATTTCCCCTATTTGCTTCAAAAAGTTGCACAGTTGATCAATAACTAAGCTGTATTCACTGCAAACACACAGAAAAAAATTTGGAGAAACATACAATATTCAAAAATGTAAAATATTCAATTCATGTTTATTTCTATAGCGCTTTATAATGTAGATTGTGTCAAGGCAGTTTATTATAGAAGTCTTAGTAATTTGAAAATGTTTCAGTCCAGTTTTCAAAGTTGAAGTTCAGTTTAGTGTGGTTTAATTTGCACTACTGAAAGTCCAAACACTGAAGAGCAGATACATTGATGAGCAGCTCCACAAGACCCAAACCAAATTTCACCAAT